ATGTTGTATGGGAGGAGGTGCAGGACCCCGATCTGCTGGGGCGAGGTTGGCCAGAGGGTCATGGGGAGCACCGAAGTAGTGCTCAAGACGACAAAGAAGATTCAGCAGGTCCGGAGCAGGCTTCAGACTGCTCAGAGTCGGTAGAAAAGTTATGCCGATAAGCGTCGATCAGACCTGGAGTTCTAGGTCGGGATATGGTTCTCCTGAAGGTGTCGCCATGGAAGGGCGTCATCCGATTCAGGAAGCGGGGCAAGTTGGGCCCCAGGTACATTGGACCCTTCAGGGTTGTAGCCCGGGTGGGCAAGGTGGCGTACCGGTTGGATCTGCCAGCCGAGCTCAGACAGATCCACAACACTTTCCACGTCTCTCAGCTGCGGAAGTGCCTGGTGGACGACTCAGCAGTGGTACCTTTGGAGGACATTCAGGTTGATGACAGCCTGAATTACATCGAGCGGCCTGTAGCGATCCTTGACCGGAAGTCGAAGGATTTGAGGAACAAAAGAGTGGAACTCGTGAAGGTGCAATGGCAGCACCGGAAGGGGTCGGAATGGACTTGGGAGCCGGTGGACGAGATGATAGAGCATTACCCCGAGCTGTTTCAGGAGCGAGCAGCAGACTTCGAGGACGAAGTCTAAAATAAGTGGGGGAGATTTGTAGCACCTGGTTCTTGGTACATATTCTTTTAATTAATTCTTTAAAGGTTTTGCAATTTTGGCCTTGGACTCGGCGAGTCGAAGGACTGACTCGCCAAGTAGAAGCGGGATGGGACACGGGGCTTAAGTCATGGACTCGCCGAGTCGGGTCCCCGACTCGGCGAGTAGCCGCTGTCTGGACAAAAACCCTAAACCAGGGGTTTGCACCCTATTTAAACACTCTAACTCGGCCTCCCTTGTCCCTAACACTTCCAGAGAGCTGTAGAGCGAAACCCTAGCCCCCATATTGTTCTTGTGAGTGACTTTTGGCTTTGTGAAGGAAGTTTGGAGCTTAGAAGAAGAAGGAGAAGGTTGAAGAGTGCAAGGAGGGGAAGTAGATCCGAAATCTACACTGTGAGAAGCTTCCATTCAGGTAGAAAAGTTCCTACCTTGATCACTAGTTCATTAGATCCCCTTTTTGTCCCTAATTTGTGGTTTTCAAGCCCTAAAACCTCAAACTCCATGTGTTTATGCTCCATGTTCTGAAAGGACTTCAGATCCGGACCTTATGGACATCTTAGAAGTGTAAAGTCTCTGTGGTTGAAGTGATTGAGGTCCCTATTGAGTATATGACCTCATAAAGAGCTTGGAATTGCCTTTTTGAGCTCATAGGGCCATGCATGCACGTAAAGTTTGCAACTTTACGTGATAAGCATGCCCTAGGAGCTTAGATCTATGGTTTGGAACCGTTGCATGCCTCATATTTGGTCTGTATGGGAGGAGGGTTGAAGGGACTCGGCGAGTTCCAAAGTGCACTCGGCGAGTTCTATGAAGATGGTCTCAGACTCGACGAGTTGGATGAACAACTCGGCGAGTCCTATGAAGATTGCCTGGAACTCGACGAGTTGTTCTTCAAACTCGGCGAGTCATATGAACTGTTACTGAGTTAAGAGGGGTTTAAGTGAAGAAGGTCCAACCCTTCGTAGCTGCACGCGGAATTAGCAATTTAACGTGTAGCAATAGTCCCAGAAACCCAAATCCTCAAGATGGATGCTCTGGTGAGGATTTGGAAGCGAGTAGGAGATCTGCTTGTGGGACTCGGCGAGTTGTTCTCGGACTCGGCGAGTTGGATCGCGAGTCGGTCTAATCGTCCCAAGTAGTGAGTTAAGGGTGACTCAATGAGTGGGAAGAGGGACTTAATGAGTTAGTACTGGGATAATAGGAGAGGGACTCGGCGAGTCTGTGCCATGACTCGGCGAGTCCAGTCAACTGGAAGTTGACTTTGACCAAGGAGTTGACCTTGGACCAGGGGTAGGTCAGTCATTTGACCAAAGGGTAATTATGAGTGACTAATCTATGTTTATGGATTTATAGCCGGAGGATTACCGGTGCAGCAGTCAGACGTCTAGCAAGCAGACTTTCAGCAGCTACTTTTCGAGGTGAGTTACCTTCCAGTAGGGGTGGGTCTAAGGCCACAATGCCGGCCCACCAATGAGGAGTATTTAGAAGGTGATTGTCTTTGTGATAATTATCTTGGTCTGGTATGTGTTTGGTTATGAGTTATATCTGTATGATATGTTACATGATAGGGATAGTTTCCCTGATAGTGGTCCTTAGGACCAAGGGGTAGGTCAGTACCCGGATATGCCTGACTGTAAGCTTATATCATGATTATTGTATGCTAGTGGTAGGGGGTGGAATAGTCCCCAGTTACCGGTTGAAAGATACCGATGATGATTACCGGTTGAAAGATACCGATGAGGATTACCGGTTGAAAGATACCGATGATGATTACCGGTTGAAAGAGGCATGATGGGGGAACTCACTAAGCTTTGTGCTTACGGTTTCAGTTTTTGGTTTCAGGTACCTCTTCGTCTAAGGGGAAAGAGCCGGCGGCGTAGCATGACATCACACACATATCTGATTTTCCGAACGGTGTTTTCTGGGATTGTACTCTGATATGATATTTGCTTACGTTGTGGGTTTCAAACATGATACATGATTTTATGAGATGACGTGTTTATACAATATTTTATAGTGAATGTTTTATGAATTAATTAATTAAAAATGAAATTTTTGGACTTAAATTTTGGGACGTTACACCTTCCTTCAACATTCATAAAATTTGCTCACACACTCAAAACGTACACAATGAGGCTAGGTTTTGGGTGGAATATGATCTTATAGGGTGGAGGTTACCAAATGAGGCAACTCTACGAGTCAATGCCTTTAAATAAGACACAAATCCTAGGATCTAGGGTTTTGAACCCCAACTGTCACCCTATCGTGCCCAATGTCTTACCATATCGTGGTGCCTCGTAAATGTGTGTCCATTAACTGACAATTCCACGTCAAGGTCCCTCCACCACCACATCATGGCCAAGCAAAAACCTTAAAAAAATGATTTAATGATTCAAACTCGAAAGTAGCATACTTGAAAAGCAGATATTACAATTCCGAATTTGTATAGAAAGCTGCGATTTTTTCAAAAAAAAGTTTTGTGATCTCTAAGTATTTTTTTTATGCATTTTTATGATTTTTAGGGTTTTTTTTTTTGTTTTCCAAATAACCCTTCCCTATATATATATATATATATATATATATATATATATATATATATATATATATATATATATATATATATATATATATGACTCCAAAATCCTTCCCCTCACTTTCTTCCCAAATCCGTCCAATTTGGGAGGAAAATTTGGAAGGAAAATATGACTCCAAAATCCTTCCCCTCCCCCACTTTCCTTCCACTAATGAAACTCGGGAACACGATTTTCCTTCGACACCCCTCACTTTCCCTCCGTATCCTCCCATTTCTCTCCTTAAGTGGAACTCGGGAACAAGGCGTTAAAAATTGAATGAGTTACAAGTCCCGCAAGAAAGTGTGTCAAATCATACCGGTTCCAAAACCGAAAACCGGCAAAAACCGGACCCGGAACCGGAACCGGTAGAACCGCCGGGCCGGTTCGGTTCTTGATTTTGGCCGAAGCCGGTTCCCGGTTCGGGTCCGGGTCGGGCCGGTTCCGGCCGGTTCAGTCCGTTTGCTCATGCCTGGTTCGAACAATACATCAACATTATTATTGTTCTTTTAAATATCCGACCAAGAGGCATGATTTTGCAAAATCCGCCCAATATTGCAGATCCGACCTCCTCTAGTCCCAAACACTTGTTAAATATCTACGCCGGGAAACATCACAACCACCCCTGAATCCCCTAAAACCACCATAATCCTGGTAAATTTCTAATCACGCTCAAAGTCACCATTGATATCGATTTCTACAACCAAAAAAGCTGAGAATCCATCATTTTCTTCCAAATCACCATTGAAAATCGATTTTACTTTGATTATCCTCCACCTCTAAAAACAGGTTTCTTACTTGAAAACACAATATGAAAACGAGTTTCTTCCCCAATTTGAATAAACCGTATATAGAGGTTGTGAAATAAACTTCTAGTGGTTATGAAATAAACTTGCAGATGGTGGAAAGAACAAAAAAAATCTTCTGATGTTACACATTGAAATAAACTTACACTATGGAGGGTGGATTATGAGGATTTTCAAGTGAGAGAAGGAACAACCAAGTGTCATGGGAGCTCTACATATTTTTGAATTCAAATTAGGAATTTTGGGATTTGTATATAATATCGATTGGGGATTCAGAATTCTTCTGTGTGGGTGGTCGTCAGATATGAAAGAGTGGGGTGTTGGCAGAGGTGATAATTCCATCGAGGAGTAGTAGAGGGTTCTAGGCATCAGAGTTGACATTAGGTGGTGGTGCATATAGGTTTGCCGGAATTGAGTTAGGGTGAAGAGATAAGAACGGATGCAAAGGCAGGGGTAGGGATTGAGGTGCAGTTATGTAAATAATAATAAATTAAAATAAATACAAACATAATAAAATTTATTAAAAAAGATTAATAAGGATATAATAATATTTTTAGATAAGACATAGATCAAATAACAAGAATCTTCTCAACTAAACAAATAAGTTAGTGACGAAACACATAAATTACCTCAAACCACAAGGACCAACTTGTAATTTACTCTAAAATTGACAAAAATGTAATTTCGCACATTTTTAGAGGGTGTTTGGGATTACTTTTCAAAATGACTATTTGAACTTTTAGCTTTTCCAAAAAATTAAAAGCTTGAAAAGATTTTTGGCAATTCTAAAAGTCATTTTAAAATGACTTTTTGGCAAGAAGAAAAATGAATGATTTTAAAAACTAGAAATTATGACTTTTTATGACTTTTGGTTTTTCAGCTTTTGCTACTCGAAAGGTAATCCAAACACTTTTTTAAACTTCTTTTATATAAAAAAGAATCCCAAACACCCCTCGTTATCCCTTCCTAAAATTTAGAAGACTACGGTCCCAATATACTTCGCGGGATTCTCATTCCCCCCTTGTCTCTCCCTCTCTATTGTCACATTGAAGAAATGGACCAGAAAAACCTCTCTTCACATCGCAGCTGTTGTATTTCACACGAATTCTACAAATCGGCTTCCAAAAACCCTAATAAAATCGCAGTCATTCACTCTTCCCGTCGCCACAGTACCAAATCCACCACAGAAATTGACCATTTCATTGAAACATCACCATCGCATGATCATCATCCAGTGTACAAAGACGACGTATGCTTCACTTATTCGGAAATTCTAGAAGCAGTAGATTCTCTTAGCCGCCGTCTACGGTTCATCCTTGACGGTGGAGCTGATCCGTATCTTATCAGACCTTCCACAGGTTTATTTCATTCTTCCATTCATGTTGCTATATGATGTAAATGAAATTCTTATTTTGAATTCGAGTTTGAGTAATGTAATATTCTTTTATACATATATGAGTTGGGTGTTACAGATTTCATAAATCATGTTCGAAAATTATATCTCTTATTCTGCTTAAGGGTATGCTAATTCAAAGTGAAAGCATCATAATTGTATTTTGTAATTCTTTTAAACTAGTGAGCTTAACAGTTTGGCATTGTTAAAGTTATATATAGAAAATAGGTTTGAGAAAGTTACCTAGTTATATATGTTTCACATATGAGGAGATATTTCAGACAATGTATTAGCACAAGAAAATGTTACTAGTGGTGAATAAGATAAGATCCAAAACATGGTTATGTATGTCATAATGAATCTTTGATTAGTGAGATTCCATCATCCCATGATCTACAAATCTTTTACCCAAATAACACAATAAAAGTGGAAGTTATAATTTAAATGTTCAATTTGATCCAATGAAAGATTATATATTTGTTGGATATTAATCTACAAGACTACAACTTTCTCTTTTCAGGCTCTACTCCTATTGATCAATCCACAAACACTCCAAGAATTGTGGGGATATACATGGCTCCTTCTGTAGAATATATTATATCTATTCTTTCTATTTTAAGATGTGGAGAGGCTTTCATGCCACTAGACCCTTCATGGCCAAAAGAAAGAGTATTATCCGTTGTTTCTTCTTCAACTTCCAAACTCATTCTTTGTGGTTCTACTTCATTTGATGAAAACTACTCTCACCAAATCAACAAATATCGTTTTCTTGTTGATAATGTTAGTTGTCCTGTTTTAGTAATTTCCATGAAAACCAACCTTAACAACTACTTTTCTTCCCATTCTTTGCTTTATCCATGTGAAAATAAGACTCTGAGATCATTTTGTTACTTGATGTACACCTCTGGATCAACGGGAAAACCTAAAGGTGTTTGTGGCACTGAACAAGGTGAGTAAACTTCAACTATAAATATTATTTGTTGATACTTGTTCATGTCATAGTATTTGTTGTGTAAGTTCTCATTCTCCCATGTGGAATTTGCATCTTTTAGGTCTTCTTAATCGCTTTGTATGGATGCAAGACATGTGTCCCTTATGTGGTGAGGAAACTTTGTTGTTCAAAACCTCCATTGGCTTTATTGATCATTTGCAAGAAATTTTGGGAGCTCTACTTACTACTTGTACCTTGGTTATTCCTCCTTTCAGTGTGCTAAAAGAAAATATACTTTCCATCACTGAGTATTTACAGGTACATTAACACAAAAGTCAAGTTTTAGACAAGTAATTTTAGCCAAATAGGCAAGAAGCTGGTTTTATTTTACTAAGGCTGTGTTTGGCGCGCCACAGCTAGCCTATAAACTAACTTATTTTTCGAGCTTTTTTAAATTCTCATGTTTGGCAAGCCAAAAAGTAGCTGATAAACATATTCTTTTAAATGTCCTTTTATGTCATTTTATATATTTCAGCTAGCTTATCTGCTAGTTTTTACCAAACGTCATTTTTGTAAGCTAGCAGCTAGCTTTTCAACTACCAGCTAGCTTTTCAGCTAGTCTACCAAACATAGTCTAAGTAGCTTTTTATGAAGCTACCTTATCAGCTATTTTTTTGGCTTGCCAAACATGTCAATTTAAAAAAACTCGAAAAATAAGCTAGCTGTGGCGCGCCAAACACAACCTTAGAGTAGCTTTTCAGGAGTTTTTTAATTTTTTTTTCCAAACATACCCTTAATTAATTAAAAAACGTATTCTTCTAAATACCCTTTTATGTCATTTTATATCTTTCAACTAGCTTATCAGCTAGTTTTTACCAAACATCAGTTTTTATTAGCTAGCTTTTCAGCTAACAACTAATTTTTCAGCTAGTATGCCAAACATAGCCCAAATGTGATCTTTTGGAACAATTTGCAGGACTATTCTATCAATAGGCTTGTTGCTATACCATCACTAATGAGGATGCTTCTTCCATCTCTTCAAAGTTCATATAGCACAACGATTCAAACCTCTTTAAAATTGTTAATACTAAGTGGAGAAATCCTTCATTTATCCTTATGGAGTTCTCTTATAAAGCTATTACCCAACACCACAATCTTGAACCTATATGGTAGTACAGAGGTGAGTCAAAGATTGTGCACTACATCCTAAAATCACCTTATATCATATATCACGTGTCTTCACCTGTTTATTTACTTATTAGTCCTAATAGATTTAATTTTAAACTTTCAATCCAAGGTTTCAGGTGATTGTACATATTTTGACTGTAGAAAACTTCCATCTCTTTTGGAGACTGAGTCACTTACTACTGTTCCAATAGGAATGCCTCTTCCTAACTGTAATGTATCACTTCTTGGAGAAGAAATATATGTTTCTGGACTATGTAATGCAATCGGATACATAAATCATGAGATTTTGCCTCTTGATGTTGCAAATTTTCATCTGGGGTCCGCTTTTTTCTCTTCAATTGATGAAAAGGAAAGTGTAGTGGTGTTTAAGACAGGTGATTTTGCCAAACAACTTCCTAGTGGTGACTTGGTTTTTGTAGGGAGAAATGACCGAATTGTTAAGGTGAATGGTAATAGAATTGCATTAGAAGAAATTGAAGATACATTGAGATTACACAATGATGTGGATGATGCAGTTGTGATTTTTAAAAGAGTTGGAGAGGTTGCGTATATTGAAGCTTATGTAGTTGTGAAACATGGGAGAAGTTTGAGTTGTTGTATTCGAGGTTGGATGTTTGAGAAGCTACCATTAGCAATGATTCCTAGAAGGTTTTTGTTTGTGGATTCGATACCGATTTCTTCTTCTTCTGGGAAGGTGGATTATGGTTTGTTGGAGAGTTTAAGGTGTTCAGTGTCAGATATTTGTAGTGAAATGGATGAAATTCTTGATAGCAATCGTTTGCAGACAATAAAAGAGGTTTTTTCCTTTATCCTCTTTAATTTTCCTTAATTGCTTCTTGCTACTCTTTTTTGACATTAATGTAAATAACTAAAACTTGTTGGATGAGGAAGTTAGAATAGACTAAACAAGAAAAAGATAAAAACAAATTGGAAAATGCTAATTGTTACAATGAATGAGGATACTAAATAATAACCTTTTTTGTTCCTTGTGCACTTATATATATATATATATATATATATATATATATATATATATATATATATATATATATATATATATATATATATATATATATATATATATATATATATGTGCATCTCTTGTACAAGAGGATGATATTTATTTTTTTCTCTTATATTGTTTGGTTGAGGGTATATCATGTATTTTATTTTAAAGATGGGTTAATCTCATAAAAAACATTATATTTTGTGTTTTTTCCGGATTAAAACTCAAATTTATTTTTTGCCTGAAAAAGGAGGACTTTGTATTTTCTCCAAAAAAGCCCTCAACTTTGTATTTTTTTCCGAAAAAAACCGTCAGCCTTCTATATGCTTCCAAATAAACCCTCAACTTTTTTAGTTTTTCTCAAAAAAACCCCCTCACATTTTACAATTTTTCTTGGAAAAAAATAATTAAAAGGGCAAATCGGAAAAAATGAAAAAATACAAGGTCTTTTCAGGCAAAAAATAAAGTTGAGGTTTAATCCAGAAAAAACACAAAATATAAGGTCTTTTATGAGATTAACCCTTTAACGATGGGTTTTATGCAAAAAAGTCCTATTATTTTAGAAAATGTTATAATAAAGTCATAAATTTTTATTTTTGAACAGAAAAGTCCCAATTATTTTAACATTTTGCCCAAATTAACGAAAAAATCCTTTATTTTTTGTTTTTTAATTTTAACAAGAAATGACAGATTATGTGATTTCCCAAAATAATGGGACTTTTCTGTTAAAAAAAAACATTTAGGACTTTATCAATTTCTTCATATAATGGGTCTTTTCTGCATAAAACCTTTTAAAGATTCAACCTTTTAATATCAAGTTTGTTGTTACTTAAACTTTAGGCTTTTTCATTTTCATATATTTTTATTTTGAAGTTAATCCAGTATCATTATATTGTATTAACTTCAAAAACTCTAACAGTTTCTTGTTTATTAAAATTCGTACCACTTTTATACAATCTAATCATTTAGAATATTTTTGTATTAACTTACGCAACTTCATGATTTCTTATTTATTAAATTTACACAGGCCTTTTGTGATGCTTTATTGGTGGAAAAAGTCAACAACAATGATGATTTCTTTGACTTGGGTGGCGATTCAATTTCAGCAGCTCATGCTTCACATAAACTAGGAATCAATATGAAATTGTTGTATTCTTTTCCTTCTCCATTAAACCTCCTCATGGCTCTCATGGATCCTAATAATCATCCACTTCCTATTGTATCTAATGACACCCATCTCAAAACAAAAAAGCTACATACAAGGTTATCTAATGAGCTTGATGAATCTAGTTCTAATAATCATCCTCCTCACAAGGTTTTAAAAATGGATTATGATCATTGGGACTCCATCTCAAATCACATGTGTTTTTGTGCAATTACTCGTTGTAACAAAGTAATGTTTGGGGAGAAATATGACAACATTAATACATTATTTCAAGCAAATCTTGGTGAGAAAAAAGGTTTTATAAGAGAAGTGTGGAAAGTTAACATGGAGTCTTGTGTTGATGCATCACCACTTGTTGTAGTGAGAGAAGAGGGAGTTTTTTTGTACATTGGATCTCATTCAAGGAAATTTATCTGTGTTAAAGCCTCAAGGTAAGTGTTTAGTTTCTTAATTGTTTATGTTAAGTAAAAAAAAATAGCAAAAGGATCTCTATTTGTTTATGTTAATAGTGACTTGAATCCAATTTTAGCTGAAGGGTAGAATTGTACATTCACTTTTGTATCTGTTTAATAATTAATCACATGAATTGAATTGTACAGTGGTGTTATCCAGTGGGAGGTTGAATTAGAAGGGCGAGTAGAGTGCTCAGCAACAATTTTGGGAGATTTTTCTCAGGTTAACTTATATTTCAACAATCATTAATTATAATTATATAATACCCTTTTATATTATATATAATATGTATACATTTTGAGAAAGATCTTTTACATATTTAGGTTGTAGTTGGGTGTTACAAAGGGAACATATATTTTCTCAATTCCATGAATGGAAGCATCACTTGGACTTTCCACACAGGTGGTGAGGTACATCTCCTCTCTTTATTGAACTCAGGTAGTATTGTGTTACACAGGGTCCATTTCTGTAGTTTCTGTGAAACATGGGGACCATGTCGGTAATTTTGCTATTAGGCAGGGACCGTTTCTGTAATTTTGTGAAACACAGGGACCATTTCTATCAATTTGTTATTAGACAGAGGCTATTTCTGTGATTTTATGAAACACATGGACCAATTCTGTAATAATTAAGTTAAGTAGGGACCATTTTTTGTAAGTTTGTGAAACGTAGGAACCATTTCTGTAATTTTGTTAAATGGAGGGACAATTTCTGTAAGGTCACTATTCGGCAGGGACAATTGATGTAAGTTTGTGAAACAAAGGGACCATTTCTGTAAATTTCCTAAAAGGCATGGAGAAATTTTGTAATTTTATGATACACAGGGATTGTTTTTGTTAGTCCCCTATTAGACAGAGGCTATTTCCGTAATTTCATGAAACACATGGACCAATTCTGTGATAATTCAGTTAATTAGGGACCATTTCCGTAATTTTGTCAAACGTAGGGACCATTTCTGTAACTTTGTGAAACGGAGGGACAATTTCTGTGAAGTCACTCTTGTGCATGGACCATCTATGTAACTTTGTGAAACACATGTACCATTTCTGTAAATCCCCTAAAAGGCAGGGACCAATTCTGTAATTTTTATGAAACACATGGACCATATCTGTAATTTTCCAGTTAAACAGCCACCATTTCTGCAAATATTGCATGGCTTCCTACATGTGCCCTGAAATTATATATATTTGATAATTTACTTCCTTTCTTATCATCATCATCTTCAAATTTAATAATTTTCCATGAAGATTATTATTGTAGTTATTTATGTTTGAATATTCATACCCATTTTCTTTATTCAAATGTTTATCCCAAAGTTGGATTTAAAAAAGCTTTACATTTTTTTTTTGAAGGTAAAGTCACAACCAGTGTTAGACAAGCAGAGGCATCTAGTCTGGTAATATTCACCTTTTTTAAAAAATTGACACAATTTTTTTATTTGTTGGATAAATATTCCTGTTTAAAGTCCTAATTTTTTTTATGTTGTATAAAATAATATACAGGTGTGGATCTTATGACCATAATCTATATGCCCTTGATTATCAAACTCATTCTTGTGTCTATAACCTAAATTGTGGTGGAAGCATATATGGCTCACCTGTAATTAATGAGGTCAATTTAATTTTAATTAATCATCACTTGTTTATTGCTTGCTTATATACATAAACTTTTTTTTTCTTTTATTATTTTTTTAGGTTGACGAAACACTTTATTTCGCATCCACTAATGGCTCCATGACTGCATTATCTTTAAAGGTATATACAACATTTAAAATTTGGTTTTTCAATCGCACTAGATCCTTTAGGCTAACATTTATGTAATTTTTAATGATAGAAATCTTAAAAAAAAAAAAAAAAATCTATACTGATATTAATTAAATTACAATTTTAACTTAAAAGGCTATACCATTCAATGTGTTATGGGTGCAAGACATGGGAGCACCCATATTCGGCTCTCTCTCCATCAATCACAATAATAGAAATGGTATGTGTTTATTTTATTTTATTTTATTTTATTTTTATTTTTATAAATATATAAACAAAAAGTACATTGCAGTGATATGTTGCTTGGTGAATGGACATGTAGTTGCTGTTGATGCAAATGGATCCATCATTTGGAGGGTAAGCTTAGCTTCTCCATATTTCTGATATGTTAAACATGTTTGAGTAAATTACACGAATGGTCCCTATGGTTTGGGGTAATTTGTGCGATTGGTCCCTAACTTATTTTTTTAACTCGGAAGGTCCCTACTGTTTGTTTTTGTTATGCGTAAGGTAAGGTAGCGACCAAGCGCGTAACAAAAACAAACAGTATGGACCTTTCGAGTTAAAAAAATAAGTTAGGGACCAAACGCGCAAATTACCCTAAACCATAGGGGACCATTCGTGTAATTTACTCAAACATGTTTTTATCGATTAGGGAATAGCTGGGGGCCCGATCTTTGGTGGACCCAGCATATCCCATGTTTTACATAACCAGGTGGTTATATGTTCGAGAGACGGAAGTGTCTATTCATTTGGTTTGGTAAGAGTAAAAATAATTTCTTGCAATAAATTATTTGGAAATGACCATTTTACCCTTGTTACTACAGGAGAAAGGAAATCTACTGTGGAAGCATGATTTAGGGGATCCGATTGTTTCGTCTGCTTATGTAGATGAAAACTTAGGGTTGAAATCGGATTATTCACATGTCAAGGAGGACAGGTAATAATATAGAAACTCATTAAAAGAATTAAAGTGTTGTTATGATTATTTTTCACATTGATTTTTGTCAAATGATTATTTTCAGGTTAATATGTGTGTGCACGAGTTCGGGAAGTATAGTTGTGTTAAGAATCAAGTTAGATTGTAATGAAGTGGAGGATTTTGGTAGGTTAGATATTGATGGAGATATATTCTCTTCACCCGTGTTTATTTGTGGGAAGATTTTTGTTGGTTGTAGAGATGATTATGTATATTGTCTTGAGATTGAGGGATAAATAGATATTAACGAATGAAAAAATAGCATTTTTATGAAATGAGTGATTTTTCTTTAGCTTTGGTTGATCTTGGAGCATAAGCCCTGTTTTTTACTTGGGATAATATCAATGAGAAAAAATGATTTTGACCCACACACGGAAAGGTCATGAATGATAGTTGCTACTTGGATGATGTTTTTAAATTGAAAGAATCATGTGCAATTCGTATGAAGGAATTCAATCAAAAAGTCGTCGTGCAAAGCAATTGGTATTTCTAGTATCTAATACATATAAAAGATAATCATACAAAAACGTAGATATACCCGATTGACGACTGTAATTCACCTAGCTTTATATGGCCTAACTACGATTAAAAAATTATCAAATTTACCCTTATTAAAAATGTGTGGCGGAGAATTGTTGTTGTGGTGCCTCGGGACGGACCTGAAATAGGACATCATGGGAAAGTTAAGAACTAAATTTGTTACAATCATTTATGTTGAAGAGCAAGTAAGTCATTTCATGTGAGTGAGGGACCAATGACACAAGTTTTAGACACCACATAGATTATGTTCATCAAAAAAATATTAGCAGGGATAGAAGTTGTAACATTTGATAAACTATAAGGACTATTTATGTAATTTTGTCTATATTTTATAAACTTTCATTTGACCCTAGTGTCACGGACAAAGCGCTACCGAATTGACGGGTCATCAACTTTAAACAAGTGAGTGCATAATTACTTTCATCTTACACACATATATGAAGTATTCAGATAAATAAGTGCTATATATACCTATTATCTATGATTGAGACCTTCTGTGTTAGATGAAACTATATGAGCTAAATTTAATTTAACCATATATGTATTTTCATACTCATAATATATGGGGTAGTGAAAGGTAAAGAGATATGAAAATAATGATGAGAGGCTATGATTTTATAGTACTATCGGACTACAAATGTAGTTACCTAGTAGGGTATTGATGATGACCATAGACTATTCTAGACAAGTCGGGTCAAACATGGACATGCTTGCAACCTATAGATGTTTATAAGTCATACACGGTCATGCTTACAACCTGTAGGTGTTAATCGATTATACATGGGCATGTTTACTACATGTAGATGTTAATAGATTGTTTATGGATAGGTCTATGACCTGTAGGCATTGACGAATCATACACGGATAGGTCTACAACCTGTAGGCATTGATGAATCGTACACAGACAGGTCAACGACCTGTAGGTGTTACTAAACTATACATGGGCAGGTCCCCGACCTGTTGATGTTAAGGAACCACATATGGACAAGACTACGACCTATGGGTATGAATAAATTATTCATGTGGGTACTCTATTCACCATATGATTGTCTTGTTAACACAAATTGCTAAGGAATCCCTGAGGCAATGTTGTCCACTTATAGATCCTTTAGGATCGATCCCTTAAGATCATCGGTTTAGGATGAGAGAGTGAAATTAACAGGAATGGGTAATTGAGTTATTTTTTTAATGCGAAATATATAATTAAAGAACTTAATTATTGTGGGTTGCAAACCCTATGTGCTCACAAGGTTTCCCAACTTGACCTACTCAGTTTCTTTGTATCACAGGAAGCTAACAAAGATAATGATGTTTAGATTTGATGAGAGATTCAATGAAATATAGACCATAGTTTAAAAAATGTTTTAAGGCCTGTAATGACTACATTTATGCTTATGTTTCTTGTATCTGTTATGACATCCCAAGTTTTAATAATAAATGAAAAACATTTCTTCGGACATACTTTTATGGGACAAATTCCGCAATATAAAGAATACTCTGTTTTAAATTAAGAATAAATAAAAATGTCTTTTATGGCCGTGAAAATGGGGATGTCACAAATAGACATCCATGAAAGAACATGAAGGGTATCAAAAGAACCCACATCATCTACTAACATTGATATAACCCCAACATACATAACAAAAATAGGTGACCATAAGACAAAGAAACATAAAATGAGAAGAATGGTGTCATATGGTGAGATGCACCAGAATCCAAGAGCCATAAGGATGAAGGAATACCTGAAGTACTGGATGACTACATACCTAAATGAGACATAGATACTAACATGACAATTGGATTATAAACAAGGTATTGTCTGAAGAACTCAAAATCCTATAGCTCCAAAGTAGATGTAACGTCTCAAAAATCATAGTAAAATTTTTTATTTTCAAAACCAATTTATCATCCATAAGTCATACAAAACATTATTTCCAAAAACATAATCATCAAATCAGAGTATCCAACAACATCTCTCAACATAATATCCAAGGATGATGTGCACAATCACGCCTTCGCCTTGCCTCGATTATCTGATGTACCTGAAACCATGAAATCAAACTGTAAGCTAAATCTTAGTGAGTTCCCCCTAAATACCCCACACAAAAAAACATATACAAACTGTTGGATTTGGTGTCTAATCCCATTACTATAAATGACATATACTTGAATTGATGGTAGCACAATCCTTTTGGGTTGCTCTCAAACCTGGTAATTGAATAAGATAACTTTGTGTGAGAGAGAGAAAGAGAGAGAGAGAGAGAGAGAGAGAGAGAGAGCAAGAGAGAGAGAGAGACCGATTTATTAATTTATTATATGATTAATAAATTAATTAGAAATCAAAATAAATTATTTATTAATATATTATGAGAATAATATATTAATTAGAAATAGTATTTTTTTAATTAAGAATTATTCAAAAATTAATTGGAATTAATTTTAGGATTAATTGGATTAATTAAAAGTGGAAGGACTAAAGGTGACAATATTCAAAAGTTAATCATTGACCAATTCTAGAAGCTCCCATAGAGGGGGACGAATTCTAGAAGAGGTTCTAGGGTTTTCCTTGGGCATTAGGGAGCCTTGGATGCCTTAGGGAGGAAGTTAAGGGATTATGGTTATCTTGGAAATACATGCCTTATCCAATACCTTCCTACCACCTATATAAACCCCTCTTGGGTTTGATTTTTGTTTTTTCACCTCATACCAAGAAGAGAATTCCAAAAATTGTTCTTTTTCTACTCTTCGCCCCCCCCCCCCTCTCTCTCTATCTCTATCTATCTATCTTTCTCTTCAAGTTTCCTTGGTTGCTAGGGTTTAGGTGTGAACCATTAGAGGCACGAAAGTTATGGTGCTAGCTTCCAAAATCAATGAAGAAAGGTTTTTTTTATTGTTTACTACAACAATCAAAAAGGTATGTAATTCCTAACATGTTTGTTAATTTCGAAAATACCTAGGGTTCACAGGTTTCTTGTTGTTCAATAGAATGTTACTTCAATAATGTTATGACATAGATCTAATAGGTTGCATGTACCCTTAAATTTTAAGGATTTATCCGTGTTATTACATGTAAAACCCATCAGTGGTATCAGAGCGTATGATTGTCTAACAATTGAATGTACATTGCTTGAACTTGAACAAAAATCAACCAAATTTGGTTTATGTGGTTGTTATTTGGTAATTATCTCTTATAAAATCTGCCAAATTCGAATTTTCCTTATATTAGATAATTAAATAAAAACCTAAATGTCAGGAGATAATCTTAGACAAGATAATGATTAATTATAAGATTAACTAATATTATCCTTACGGATCTTATTATTAATTTAAGTAAATGATTAATTAAAAGATAATTAGTAAATCCATAAATTAGTTTAAATTTAACTAAATTAAAAGTTTAATTTATTAACAGATTAAACCTTGTATTTTTAAATGTTTTAAAATACACATTATACTATGTATATAATTAAAGGTTTAATATATATTATATGTATAAGAATAGTCATTCAAATCGCTAGTATTCCTCATTCACGAAACTATGCTATAAAAAAAGTATAAGGAAGCGACCTATAAAATGGTCGTTGAATGATCGTGTACTCTCACCACCGTTCTCCTATGCGGTGAAGGGTCATTATCCGAACGGATTTGATAGGACATAATTTAATTAATAAGTATAATGATTTAAAGTAACTAAACTAATTTTAAAATCTCACTCTTAGTTACTTTAGGAAAAATGTGAAAAGTATGCTAATCCATGAAAACGCACATCATACTTTATATGTCGTTAGTGGAGCGTGTATGGTTAACCGACACACTAATAGGGGCTATAAAGAGATATGATGGGCATATCGGGAATTATCATTGTTTATGGAGCATGTGTGGTTAACCGGCACATCAATGTGAGATGATAAATGACATCGAGGTTGCCAAGCGGGTTTGCATGGTTATTCACATCTCGTTTGTGATTCTCGACATCCCAGTCACAAAAGTGAGAGCATAATCCGGTATTAAACATGCCATTGATAAGAATCAATGAATCTCGAAAGATCTATGAGTTTCATAAGATTGGAATTGGTAAAATCCTTACCTACCTAAAATAGGTTCAGATTTGATTACGACATCCTTTTTCAAAGTTCGAATCGAAAATATGGATTCTAGCCTTAATTGAATTTTATGGGTTAATAATTAAGGATTAGAATCAACTAACTTAAATTCTCTTTTCTCCTATTTTAAAATATCTTATGAAGATATAAATGGTCTTCCTCATTCTTAAGAGATGGTCCTCCAATTTTAAGTCAAGGTGAAACTGTTCTCCCTTCCTTAGGAAATGATGGAACTAGACATCATCTCTCTTCCACCTCCTCCTCTATGATTCTCCCAACGTCACGTTTTCCTCAAGTTGAAAGATACGAGACTACTCAATCCCTATTGGCGTGTAAACATCAAGATGGAAACTTCGTATGTACACATGTTTTGAAAAGAAATTGTACATTGACAAGTTGGATATATTGGGTATCGCTTTCCCAAGGGAGAAAGCCATTGATTTGTTTTTTCTCTTGCTTCCTAAGTCATATGGTTAGTTTGTTAAAAACTTTCATATGAGGAATCTCGATGTGATCCTAATTGATTTGACCCAAATGTTGATTGTTTCTGAAGCAGAAATGCTTAAGAGCACATCTAAAGCAGAAATGCTTATTGGGTCTATTTCTAAGGTTTCCATGGAC